TGACGTAATGCGCCATGGTTTTCCTGCAGTATTTTAAGTCTCCCGACAAGGAGACCTTAATGATAACGCAGGTTTAGTTACCTAATGACCACTTGTAAAACAATCTTTCAACCACAGCCCAAACGTGAATTCCTCAAAAACGTATCCCCGACAGAAACGTTACACTCGTTCCGAAGAAATTCCAATGAAAACCGTGCAACGTTTTCTTGAAAACTCGCCGAAGCGAATGAGGAAACGCTTTGTATAAACTCATTTTGATACAAACTTACTAGTCAAATCATTGGTGCGTGCAGGCTCAGGTGGGACCAACGGTGAAGGAGAGCAGAAACGAAACATGAAGTCAACTATACAGATGGTTTGTGTGTGTCAGTTGGACTGGGTTCACATTCTGTTTAAGCTCCCGAGCTGATGCTAAAACGTACAACCATGATCTGCCGATACACTCAAGGTCAGAAGTGACAGGATACATCGAGGGTAAATTCATCGAATCCCCGTTAGATGTCACGGTCGTAGACACACACGAAGATAAAGCAACAAACCACTTGTCCACCATGTGGTTTACGCGGGGAACGGATGCAGCCCCCAGTTGTGACGTCTAGGTTACAGACGGTTACACTCTATGACAAGTCCTCAGGGATTTCGTGTTTTTCTGTCTGGTTATCTATCTTTCTGTCTCTCTGTCTACTAGTCGTTCGGAGCAAAACCAAACAAGCCGCATGCCAATTTACCGAAAACCTCCAACTTCCAAATATTCATACCGAATGACATAACGGGTCAGTAACAAATTGATTGTGCGATAAAGTTTTAATAAAAAGTTTACCCCAATCATCCATGTTATTCTTTACACAATTTATACTGCCCATGCAGATTCGAAATAAATATCAATAGGTAACCCATGTTCAGATTAGCAGCTTGCGGTATATACAGCAGATTTATTTGGGGGCGAATATTTTTTTGATGCATTTAGTTGTCCATCCAATATGCAGTAAGTTAGCTACAGTACCTGAGTGGCGTAGTCAGTCAGTCAGTTGGCTAGTGTATCCATCTATGAATCATACAGTAAATCAACTAATTTTCCATTTGTTATCAGTAATTAACCTTGAAGTTATTTGAGCAATTAGTGACCCTTGAATCAATTATTATAATGTTTAACCTACAAATTTGTGTTTTGTATGTGTATGTGTGTGTGTGCGTATGCTTCTAGGTGAGCATGTGAAAACGTTTTGTTAAATCTACCGAGTGTAAGTATAGAGCCTAAAAGTCATACATTGTGAAATAAAAAAGTGCTGGCATAATTGCTCATCAGTGCCAATGCAAAGGCACTTTAATTTGATCCAATAATTTGGGATTATTGAAGCTATTGAACATACTGTACTCCTTTATCATTATTCAACCGCACCAACAGAGTTCGAATTTGGATTATCCCCCCAAATGTGAAAACTCCACGTTGATAAATAGCTGCGGTATATCATGAAAGTTGGCACCCAATAAGTCACAGAAATGGGGACAAGAATGCAGGCAAGAGTGCCCAGTAGCTTCGTCTCACATGCCCTAGTTTGTGCTTGTGATTGTGCGGCGTTCGAAATGATCACCAATCCAGCAGTTTTGTACCTTAATGGCATACACTAGTTTATCAACGGTTTTCAGCCCTGTTGTTTTCATTGTGTAGGTATGTGAAAACAAGATTTCATTACTTTGCTCTCTTTTGAACGTTCGTGTTCTTACTAGCATAACCATTGTGGCTATCATCTAACTGCAATAAACGACCCTTTCAAACACTTTCTACTTCTTGGACTCCGGTGGAGTCACCTCGGTAGCATTCAACGTCAGGGACATCCGACTTGATCTACATCATGTCCCGCCTGTTCAGAAGACACACGGTCAATAGAGGTCCTGCAGCACGCGGTTCTATGATTTAAAATCAATTCTAAACGAAAGAGAAAAAAACAACTTTTTTAAGCGCGATCAACAGTTCATGTTGATTAGTGTGTTTGTGAGATCAGTGAGACGGGATCAGATCCTCAGAGCACTTATGAAATAGAATATGTGACGTGCTTAACACTGCTCACGTCTGAATTTTATTGTCTGCGTCAAAGTACCAATTAGATAAAGTTAGTTAGTCTCCGCGACCCTCGAAATTATAAGGCAATACCGATCCACCACTGGGAGAAGTATCCTTTATGCGTGGATGCTTATGTTCTATCGATTGGAAGGATACTGGATCAGATGGAGCACCCAAGACGATAGCGACTGACAAATTATCGATCATGAATGACATGTCCTATTTCCTAAGCGATACAATCTTTGTCTCGTAAATGCTACTAGTTCGTGTAATGCAGATGGGTGAAAACCAGAACATGTGTAAGAAAAAACAAGCGGAATGTTAGCGCGATACCGTTTAATTCAAGCAATCCAGCCGTAATGATTCAAACGCAATCGGTTCTACATTTAGTTCTGGTCCTGTGCAGCATAGAAAAGAGAGATGCTAATTGCAGAGCGGGAAGAATTATTCGAGGTTTCCATTTCAACCGTGAACCTCATTCTCATTCCAATGGCTGTATTAAACATATCTAATCCCGCTCACGTCAGGGTAGATCGATTTCAGTGACATCAATTTTCGGTTTGGTCTATGATGCACTGTAGTGAAATGGACGTTTCGGTTATTCGTATACTAGCCTAGTTTCCATGCTGCGGGGCCAAAATATGAAATGTTGTCATGCGGAATATTTTTAGAATAAGGAAATATATAAATGGAAATGTTCTCGTCATCTACTGGTCTAGTTCTCAATGGCTTTATGATCGCGCCCAGTGTAGGTGAAAATGATCCGTAGTTTATTGCAACCGGCCAAATTAAATCCTCACTGTTTGTTTACGGTGCATATGATGAAGGAACTCTATGAGGATGGGGAAAGTTCATCGCGAATAGAAAACAAAACGAAACATATGCAGTTTCAACTAGCCAATACTTGTGGTTAGTTGCTTCCATCATACCTGGCCATCCTTCAAACTTGACCTGCAAGTACGAATTTCGATTCACCAATTGAGTCACCGACTTAAGGAACACCACAAGAGATTTACGTTCACCAGTAATGTCTATCCACTGTCTCACATGGTATTGCGACCTCAGACCTATCGCGCAGATTTAATCATTGCTGTCATCACCACCATTGTGCCATCCAGGTCACACCAAGGCCGACCGCATATGCCAATTCAAGGTTCATCAGACGTCACCTTGAGCTGGTTGGTGTGGTGGTCACACACCGACCACTCTCGGATTCCAAAGCTCAAACCCCGGATGGGTGAGCTCACACTTCAAGGTCAACTTGCCCCTAGTATCTTTGTAGTCTTCGTTTGACTCCATGGACCAAAAACTGTGAATGAAGACAGTCTCTTAATGATCGTCGACAAAGTCACTGGCATTTCCATTCATCCCCGGGACCTGACGCAAAGTGTATTGATGGACGCAAATGCTTGTTCGTCCGATTTTGTATTTTTCTCTATACTTTTCAACTCAAGCATTGGTTCAACGTGCCGCAATATGACCGTGATCTAGGCGACCCATTCTCACGGAGACTTCACCATTGTGGCAAAACCGTAGTGGTGACCCGATTCTCGGTTAATCGCTTTACCCATATATCACACCGATCGCCGTTTGCTTTGTGATCGGGCCTAGTCTTGTGACGCTCCACAATTTGCATGTGTTTGCGAAAATATGGCCGATCAGAGCGCACGCACGCACACAAACTCGTGCACACAATCTGCACTCTGTTTTGCACCATAGTCGTGAACATCATTGTCCAACGGGTTGTGTCCATCCAAGCGGGTATGTGCACAAACACTGTCGCGCATGGGTCAACGTGAAATTGAGCTGAGCTGAACAAACAGACACGACACATGAACTGGTTTTGTCCTACATAAACTGAGGTTTGGTACACTCTCACGTCTTGACGCATGTGTGTGTGTGTGTGTGTGTGTGTGTGTGTGTGTGTGTGTGTGTGTGTGTGGAAAATTTATCACACAAGGATGTCGTTGAATTCGTTACACTATGTTGATCGGACAACTATAGTGATACCTCGGTGACCTCAAAACAAAATTGCGGAAAACAAAAAATGCGGAAAGGTACCGGAGTTAAAGATTGCTCGACTGATGTAACTTCTTGGGTCATATGACCATCATCGTTCGATGGCAGATAGAAAGATTTTGGATCGCACAGCGCTGGACGATTCGAGAAAATT